GTTTAGTGGTCTAACCTGTGGACTGGACTCCCCAAGAGCTCTGGATGCAAGCCAAGGTTTCACCCTCTCCCCTGAGCAGAAGTTAACATCCTTACCAATAATAGCTTCATGTATCTGTATGGGACAGGCTGGCACAAAGAAGCCACTCAATTAATAGCTGCTGATTGATGGACACAAACCTTTCTGGAAGATGAATACTCATGGTTAGAGAGTTCTTCTCCCTAGCTTGGATGGTGGTCCAAGTTCAGAGAGAACCATCCAGGAATAAGGGGAGTCTTTGGTTCACGACTCCAATGGGCCACTGGGTGGCTTATATCACCTTTCAAAATGGAAGCCACAGGCTGGTGAGTTATCTATGGCTTATCTTCCTGGGGATACAAAACAACTCAGCTGAAAGCTCTCTGCAGTCGACGGCATCAGCAAAGTCCAAAGGGAGAAAGCTCAGTTATGCTATCGGAGTATCAGTTTTGGTTACTGGAATGATTCCAGTGATGATACTCAGGGTTGGCTACTGACAGAAGTCACCTACTGTGAAGCAGGAAGAGAAAGCAAATAATGTTACATGCTTATAAACGCTTAAAACATATTAGGTCACTGGCCTTACCAAAAACAAGAAAAACACCATGCCAACTGGGTATTAGTATTCCCATTCTAGAGACGAGGCAGCAAGGCTCAGAGAGGCTAGGCAACTATCCCATAGCCGCAGGGTAACTGATAAGAAAAGACCTCAACTCTCGTCTATTTGACCTCAAAACCTACAATCTCTCCACATCATCAAAATGTGACCTTGGGTCATATAAGTGATGGCAAAGGGCTTCCATATTAAACCTTCATATTAGACCCTAGTAAGGTTTCTATGTCACCAATAAGTCAGTAGGAGAAAAGATATTCATTGAAATAAGAGACGCTGAAACTTGATATTTTTCTTAGTATTCCATGCTCTCTGTCAGCACTTAAAAAAATGAGGTTGTGGTCTTTCTGGAATAGTTAATGGAAAGACAGAGGGGGGAGGTTCATCGGTGGCTTTCAGACTCTTTCAGTGCAACTAGTTTTATGAAAAAGAAAACCACATAAGCTGCATTACTACTTCTGTTTACAGGAATATGCTCTGGGGAAACCATACTGGGGTACTCAGCTCCAAGACAGGGTTCTTAAGCAAAAGCACTGACACTGATGATATGGGTGATTTTGGGCAAGTCATTGCCTCTTCTTCTTGGCCTCTGTTTCCTCAAGAGAGAAAAGGAGAGGACATTTAAATAACCATTGAGGGTGACAGATACTTTACGGATCTTATCTAAGCGAGGGATCCTTTCCCCAGATGCTGCACATCTACACCTAAATGCACGATTCTGAATGCCTGCTCTGGTTGTTCACGAATCTTCCAAAGACTATCTGTGGACCCCCCAAAGAATATACTGACCCTTGATAGAAAAGTATGTGAGTATGTGATTATGGTAGTTATGCTTACCAAAAAACCTTTTAGAGATACAACCTGAAATATTTGTGGATGAAATGATTTGATGTTTGGGACTGGCTTTCAGTGGATCCAGTGTGTGTGAGGGGGGATGGTGGTGGTCGTGAGAGATAACAGATGAAATGACATCATCCATGGATTGGACATTGGTGAAACCAGGTGATTAGTTACATGGTTGATTGATCTTTATACTGTTCTCTCTGCTTTTGTGTATGTTGACATTTTCCACACAAAAATCAATTTACACAATAGAAAGTACCCATAATTTAAAAAACACTCAGAGTTGATGATCTCCAATGCCCATAATCAAGAATGTAGCATTCCAAAGAATCGGCAAAAAAAGTGGACTGCTGGAAACATGCTATGGGCTCAGTGCACTGAGCCATCATCATCCCCTCCTAATGGACTCTCTGGACCACAGGGTTTATTGTGGCCCCCTTTTCTAGATGATTCTGTGACGTTCCATTTGATTGTTTCCCTAAGTATATTTCGGGGGAGGGGGAAAGGGAGAAGAGTAGAAAAACTAAACACAAAGAAGCTGGACAAAAATTCATTTTTAATCATTTCACATGATAATGTGGCTCAATTTAAGTTTCAAAGATTTCTTCTTAAAAAAAAAAGACTGAAAACTGCTGTAAATGATGTTGAGTGGCATGTGGAGTATGTGGTTAGGAATGTTGGGGGACCAGGCGGATGGGAAACAGTCGGCAAGCAGAACCCATAGTTGAGGTGGAGGGCTGGGCTCCAGAGCTATAGTGCCTGGCGCTCTGTCCTGTGCCTCTCAACTAGCTCTGTGATGGTGGGTGAGTCCCCTAACCTCTCTGAGCTTCTCCTTCCTTCCTTACAAACTGTTAGAAACAGGCATCCCTCTCAAAGGGTGATTGTGAAGAGTCAAGCTGTACCTGATATATTGCACCCATTCAGCAGATGCTGACCACAGTTCTCTCAACTATGTAAATATAAAAGTAGATCTTAAAAAAAGATGTACAACATAGATCAAAATGTTATCATTATCAGTAGTTGCCTTGGGCCTTCGGATTGTAAGCCAATGAGGGATTTATTTTTCTTTATTTTTTTGTCCGGGCTTTTCAAATTTCTACAAAGGGTATTTGTTACCCTTATAATCAGAGAAGAAAACTTTTTGTTTTTTTTTTTTTTTAGTAAGTAATTTTATCTTATTTATTTCTGAGAGAGAGAGGGAGAGAGAGAGCTTGAGCAGGGGAAGGTCAGAAAGAGAGGGAGACACAGAATCCAAAGCAGGTCCCAGGCTCTGAGCTGTCAGCACAGAGCCCAAAGCAGGGCTCGAACCCACAAGCCATGAGATCACGACCTGAGCTGAAGTCGGACGCCTAATCGACTGAGCCACCCAGGCGCCCCTAGGAAGTAATTTTAAGTCTTTCTTGAGGAAGCTCAATGCCCAGAGAGCCTAAGACGTGGTATTTTCACAGATGATTCCGAGGAGTGAGGTGGAATGACTACTAATGCCTTGTTCATACTTTCCTTATGATGCTCTCATCCCTGCGAACGGCAATGAGCTCTCAAATCTGGCACTCCTGGTGTAGAATAGAACCTTCTTCTGTTCCTGTTTAATGCCCTCCGGCCCCCTTACCTCATATTCCTCCATACGGGTGGTTTGACCTTTCTGAGCACGGACTTTGAGAATATCACCGATGCTCACTTTTGGGCACACTACTCTGCATTCAGTTTCCTGAGGTTCATGGCCCCCCACGGCCCATCTCCACCGATAAGAACACATAAGCCATGACAATGAATTTCGGAACATATACGTGCACTTCAGGTGCGTAGACCACTTCGGGAAAAATTGGCATGTACAGAATTTGAAACCATAGTCAGAGAAATCAGTGGATAATTATGGGTATCGCATATGTAGTGTTTCCTCTGCCAAAGGATTTGCATTGGGATACCTATAAATAGCAGATCCATACAGTGTGTTTAAACCATGCTGCTGCATACGCAAATACTCAGCTCTCTCCAGAACACACCTACAGTGGGGGCAACGTGCCCAATGCAAAAAGTTTAGTACTGGTTTCACTCTTGAGTTTTGCTGCATTCATTTACAGTATTCTAAGTCATCTCTGAAACGGCCACGAACCCACACCCCTCAGGCGGCTGATGGTCAATAACAGACAATGACATGCCCAGAACCTTCCAGTCAGAGGACAGGTGGTGTGTGTGTGCAGGGGTGAGACTGCAATGGAGTGGATCATCTGTGGAAGGAAGGAAACGGGTAGACATTGATTGAGTTCCTGCGTTGTACTGGGTCAGTTCATGAACTCTTCACAGTGCTTCTGGAAGAGGGCGGGGGAGGGCTTTTGCCCCATTTCCAACGAGATTTAGAAAAGTTGATGCATGTGTCCCAGATCAGACACTGACAATAAAGTAAAATGAAATGAAATAAAATAAAATAAAATAAAATAATAAAATAAAAAAGATAATGCAAAGCTCTCTTTGATGGTTAACTCCCAGAGGCTGAGATGTGTATAGTGGCCAGCATCTCTTCAACCACGAGCCACATGGCTGTGGTTTTGAACCTGCTGATTTGCCAACGGCTTTGAGGGATGTTTGGAGAGGGAGGGAGGGCTGCGACTTTGCCCCGTGTGGCCTGCCCTCCCACCCGCATGCCCCTTTCCTTCCTCCCACGCAGGAGCTGCTGGACTCGAAGACGCCTGGGGAGCTCACACCGAGACCTGAATAGAGCCAGGAGCCCTGCACTTAAATCCATATACCCACCAACTCCATCCCACGATCTTCACCCCAGGCTGGGATGCCACTTGGCACGTCGCTGCCAGCAGCCACACTGTACGTGGTCCTCTTCCAGGGTTTCCAAACATGTGCCTGGCACCCACGAGCGTCTCGGGGGAGGTGGAACCGTGCAGAGAGGTGCTGCGGGGGTGGCTTTGTGTACGCGTGTTGGTGTAACTCATAAAAGCAAGTGTAAGCGCTCCACGTATTAACTTCCACGAGAGGAACATCAACTTTCCCACGAACGCGGCTTTTCCCTTTGCTTAGCTTTTCCGAAGTCAGGGGTGAGCCCCTGAATTAAGCAAACGTTCCAGGGGACCCCTGTGATACAGGCAGCCCCTTGCTGGCCCGGGGGCCCCGGCTTCCCTGGACGTGTATCCCTCGCTGTCTACCAGCCTTCGGCAGCCGCTTCCCACCTACACGCGCTCCGGGCGCCAGCGGCTTGAACGCGCAGCGCCACCAAGCCAGCCACCTACCACCCCGGAAAGCGGCCTCTGAGCGCGGAGTCGGCGCGCAGGGCCCGGCGTGCGCTCCGGGGACAGGCCCGCGCGGCCTCGGCTCTGCGTGGGCAGGAGGCTGCGTCCACGCGACGCGGTCCAGCAGCCTTCCTGCGAGTCCGGCCCGACTCAAGTCCCGGGGCGCCCGGGTGCCACCAGGGGCGCGTCTCCCGCCGGCCCGCGCGCCAGTCGGGGACGCGACGGCGGGCCGGGGGAGGGCAGGAGGGGAGGGCGCCCGTGTCTCTGGGGGCGAGTGCGCGCGGTACCTTGGATTCCTGGCTGCCGCTGGACGCCGGAGAGGGCGGCTGCTGGGCGCTCGGCGCCTCCCGGGGCAGCCCGTCCACGCCGTCCTCGCGGGCGCCGCTCGGGGGGATCATCGTGGCGGCGCGGGAACGGCGTTGGGCTCCCGGAGGAACGGCAGCGCTGGCCGTCCCGCCGCACGCCGGCCTGCTCAGCGGCGGGTCCCGGGGACCCCCGCCCCGCCCCGCCGCCCACGCGCGCTACCCCGGACTCGCCGGTGCGCACGCCCCGCGGCCCCTCGCTGGCCGGGCGCACGGGCGGGACTGGCGGCCGGACTGGCGGCCGGACTGGCGGCCGGCGGCGGGGGAGGCGGGGCCGCGGGCGGGGCGGGGGCGGGGCCGCGGGGGGCGGGGCGGGGCTGCGCGGCCGCCCCCGGAGGCTGGGGGGGCAGGGGGGGCAGGGGGGACAGGCGCGGGGCAGGGGGTCCGCGGGGGTGCCAGGCGGGGGGGGGCAGGGGGGGCAGGCGCGGGGCAGGGGGTCCGCGGGGGTGCCAGGCGGGGGGGCAGGGGGAGCAGGCGCGGGGCAGGGGGTCCGCGGGGGTGCCAGGCGGGGGGGGGGGCAGGGGGAGCAGGCAGGGGGCGGGCGGGGGCGGAGGCGCCGGGGTCCTGCTGCGTGGCCGCACGCGCGTCTCCCGGGGTCGGTGCAGCGGTGCCCAGGAGGGGCTGCGGAAGGAAGAGAAACCCCGGGAAGGATTCAACCGGGGCGGGGGGGGCATCTACCACACCCGCCTTACTCCTCGCCCCAGGGAAGGCGACTCCGGCGGAGACGGGGACTTAGCTGAGCTATTTATAGGGCTCAGTGACGAGCGCAGGGAGAGCTGGGGTTCCCCGGCTGGAAGGCTCTCTGCGCTCCCCCGCTCAGCTTTGGACAAGGCAGCGAGGCTGTGTCCCCATTTTGCGCGCTCCTGCGCTCGGCCCCCTGGGCGCTTTGCCTGATTTAACCCTCACAGCCGCCCCCCGGGCTGGGTACCATCACTTCCGTGTTATAGACGGGGATACCGAGATTCTGGGGAGGCTAAGTACTTTGCTCCAAGTCACTGAATTGTAAATGGTGGCGCTGGGATTGGAACCCGTGTGGGCGTCAAAATCCCTGTCTTTGGACTCGACAACCTCAGTTGGGGGCGGGGTACATGGCTGAAGGGCGCACGGGCTTTGCAGCGTAGCCAGGAGCTCAGGGCTCTTCACAGAAGGGCAACCGGCCTGCGTTACCAGAACCTCTGGAAGCACAGAGTTGGCCCCGTGGGATACAGACACAGAAAGGTCCACTCTTTTCCAAGACACAGCCTCAGTATGCGGGGAGAGGAAATACGTCTGGCGATTTACAAGACCTGAATTTTCGTAAATACAAGCCTCCCTCAGTTGTCGAGCAGAAGATTGTAACCTCATGTCCAGATTTTCCTGATTAACGGTGAATTTTGCAAGGCCAGCCTCGTGGGTACGCAACCTGTGCGGTCTCACACAGGCGGCTGTACTTGGTTGGATGATCTGTCACCATCTTGAAATTCTTTTATTTTTTTAATATTTACATTTGCTTCAATTGAAGTGTAGTTGGCACACAATGTCCCATCAGTTTCCGGGGTACCACACAGTGATTCCACATCTCTATTCATTATGCTGTGCTCACCCCGGGCGTTGCTACCGTCTGGCACCATTCGGTGCTATTGCAGGACTGCTCACCATGTTCCCTGCACTGTACGTTTCATCCCTGTGACTTATTCTCTCCATGACTGGAAGTCTGTACCTTTTACTCCCTGTCACCCTGTTTACCCATCTCCCCCACCCTCCCACCCCTGCCTCCTCTGGCAACCACCAGTTTGTTCTCTGTATTTATGGGTCTGTTTGAAATTCTTAATAATATTTGAACAAGGGGCCCTGCATTTTCATTTTGTACCGGACCCTGTGAATTATGTATCTGGTCCTGCAAGTTTGCCTTAGCTCACGTCCTTTGGAAAGAGCCTATTACTCTTTCTATCAGAGACATCAGCTGAAAGCTCGTGTTCTGAGTGCCAGGCTCTTAATGGGCATTTGGCTCTCAGAGAGCTCCATCCAAATACCCCAGTGGTCCCTCGCTTCTCACTGGACCAGCCCGGATTGGCTAACCCAAATGGCCACAGCTCTTTCCTCCTCGAAATGCAATTCCTAATTGCTCAACAGATACGAAATTGGAACGGCCCAAATCGCAAGGGCACAACCAGAGTGCACAATGACAAGAGCAACAGTGTCAACATGTCTTCATCAAGCATCTATTTGTACCAGACTTCGTGCTAGAAAAGCATGATTGATAGAGCAGAGAGGAAACATAGATTCAGTCTATTAGTCTATTGTCCTGGAAGGTAGAGCCTGCTGAGAGAGACAGAGGCTAATTAAATCTCACACACACACACACACACACACACACACACACACTTTATGAACCGTGATAAAGAAAAATACAGGAATGTAATGACTGTACACAAATGCAGGGACTGAATAAGTGTGTAGACAGGGAAGGGTCTTCCCAGCAAGTGAAGCCCCCTCCCCCCAAGGTCAATGGGCAAGCCCAATCTTGGTGGGCAGGCACATTGTGACTTCCATACAAGGAATTTTTCATCTTTAGATCTTATTTTATTTGTTAAGAATTGAAGGGCAGATGTATGATCTCATCCTGCATTTTAGTAAATGTTTAGCTCTGATTAATAGTCAATGGCTAATACTATAAGGTAAATGTTGTCTCCCTGAAGGAAATTTGAAAGAAGCCAGTACATCCTTCTTTCCTCCCCCCTCCTCTGTCCTAGTAACAGAAATCCTTGGTCTGGTAAATAGTAGGTACCTTTCTCAGGAGGTTCTGGAATTACCTGTAGTTGCCCAAACTAATCAAGCCTTTGCTCATGTATTTCTTTCCCATAAATGCCTCTCCATCTCATTCTCCTGGGTACCTAGCTAACTTCTCTTATTCTTCAAAACACATCTCCAAACATTTACTACTCTTGAAATCTCCTCCCTGGACCCCTTTAGTCTGATTTAGATTCCCAAGGCAATGCCATACTCTCATGGCATCCTGTCCCAATGACGAGCGACCTGTCCTCCACTGGGTGGTGAGCTCTGCTGGGGCAGGGATCTTGTCCTGTTATCTTGTTTCCTCAGCTCCTGGCACAATGTTTGCAAACAAGAGAGTGAGAGAAGGAAAGTCTCCTGCCCTTGCTAGTCCAGGAGGGTCTAGCGTAGCCCAGGCACCGGTTCTTCCGAGAGCTCTCTACACACTGGATGGAGAGAGAAAGACGCTGGATTGGAAGCTGCAGTGATATTTTAGCCATGGCTCTTCATGTCTGCTGTAGGGAGGGGGAGCCTGGGGAAATCTAGGTTGCAAATAATTATCCCGAGTCGTGAGTCTGTAGCAGGAACCTGTGACTTTAGTACATTCCCTTCATGGTCCATTTCTCTCTGGTTGCTAGTTAAGTATCAAGCCAGCAGAAGTATGAGGGGTGTAAGAATCTATCTCCAAACTTGACCTGCGAGCTACCACTCCTGGTTCACTTACTCATTTCATTAAGTGGTAAAGAGGGCAAACCCTCCCCTTGATGGCACACAGCAGTGCTGCTGAGCCGAAAAGGGTCTGATGCTTCCATTGCTCAGATCCAACTTGGGATCAATGGATGGGGCTTTTAGTCTGTGCACTTTGACGTCTTCTAGAGCCATTTGGTAAAAGGATACTATCAAAACTGTTAAGTGCCAGGCTTATGAAGGGTACAAAAAGGAATAGCAAGGCAAGGAAGAGAGAGGGTCATCAGAACGACCATGATGGGGAACTGACAAGAATAAAGGAGAAAGGATCTCAATGAGTCCGTTCTTCTTGTCTCATGCATCATAGTCATTGTGACTATCTTGAGATCTATGAAAGGCATGGGGTTTGGCAATTAAGCTGATGATAATAATAACGGCTTCTATGTTGCAGACATTTTCTATGTATTATTTCATTTAATCTTTCGTTTAATAAGGCAGTTACGCTAGGTTCCACAGTGAGTGCGGGAACAAGGACTTGGGCTCCGATGTATCCTGTTCCCGGGCCGAGTTTCGGTTTCCCTCTTCTGCCGCCGCTTAGACAAATGCAGAACCAGATCTGGTGAAGACACTGCAGGCCTTTAAGGGAAAAGTCATGCAGATTGAGAGCCAGGAGCAAAATAGAAGCATAGGGAGAGTCCTCAAAGAATGAAGAGTTGCCCACTCCATTCTTTTATCTTAACAGTGAGTAATAACCACAGCGACATTTTGGGGGTGATAGCCAAGAAGTCAAGACAAATGTGTCAGGAGGCGCCAGCCGCTGCCATCCAACCTGTAAAGTGCACCGGAGATGCCAGCATTTGTCGTCCCCTCTGGCCACCTTGCCTGAGGGAGCTGCCTGAGTGCCAGAGAAACCCAAAGCTTGGCCCAAAGTCCTACCACTGACAACACCAGCCCCTACCTGGAGTAGCTGTTCACACCAGACTCCAGTCCTTACAACAACTCCCGATTAGTCTCTCCTCGGCATCAAAGCGAATCATTTAATTTGGAGACGCCTACTGTCAGCGCAAATGAGATTCAGTATACTAATCCTTAACCTGTTTTTTGAAGTGCCAATTAATAATAATGACAGCAATCACAATAGTAGGTTATATTTGAATAGCACTGTTTGACTGCATAGAAATGACCTCCCACTGGAGGAACCTATAAAAGGCAGCCTCATAGAGCTAGTTTAGAGAACTGTTCTCTAAAAAGCAGATTTATGGCTGCTTCTACTTGGCTCTAACCTCTGGGAGATTAGAGGGACACCTGAATCTTTAAACTGAGTGTAAGGGCCATGAGCCTAGTGTTCAAACATCCCAGCTCTTCACTGAAAAGCAACGAGATCTTAGGGGCGCCTGGGTGGCTTTGTCGGTTAAGCGTCCGACTTTCGCTTAGGTCATAATCTCGCGGTTCGTGGGTTCGGGCCCCGCGTCGGGCTCTGTGCTGACTGCCAGCTCAGAGCCTGGAGCCTGTTTCAGTCTGTGACTCCCTCTCCCTCTGACCCTCCCCTGTTCACGCTGTCTCTCTCTCTCTCTCTCTCTCTCCTAGAAATAAATAAA